ACTGTCTCAGCAAGGATCAAAGGGACCCCGACGACATGCTGAACGTGAACTCATTCGGTTATTCGAGTGTCCCCGTGATTGGAGGTGAGAGCTGGAATATCCCGATGGCTCGGAAAAGGACGAGGGTTCCTGGCCTACGTGGGAGGATCAGGATACGCGGCAGGGAATCCTGCGTGTTTGTGGAAAGGAAATCGATCCTACGGGGGGTTGGCACGACCCCCCGTGGAATATCTTAGAACGATGAGAGAGGGCGGACGTTGGCTACATGGTGCCTACACTGGCTACGACAGATACAGCAGCGTGTTCTACGTCCACACGAGAGTCCTTCGAGAGGATAACGTAACGTAAATGCAAGATGGAGGACACCGTGAAACTTTTCAAATTAAACTACAGGAACAAAATGCTGGATAAGCCCAAGGTGATTTCGAATCTAGCGAAACTCTCTGTTGCCGAATTAAAGAATAATGTAGCTTGTTATAAAAAAAAAAGCTGTTACGTAAGAAATCTTTTCTTCCGTTGTCACGGTGTGAAAGGGGGGGGGGGGATAGTCGACTATCTAATTTTATCGTTACGAGATACACGTGGAAGGGGTGTGTTGACGGGATAGGAATTTAACGTAAATAAGCAAAGGGCGCCATTAGCGTCACGCAACCGGAAACGAGCGGAATCACGGCATGTTCTCGCCTTACCTCGAGGCCAATTTCAACGTCGCGGATTCCCCGAACACCAGCGACCATTCTGCAGATACGAATTTCACGAAGAACCGGCGATCGTCTTTCTCGGATTCGATGAAAATGGCGACCGTCAGCAAAACTCGGACTTTGAAACCTCAGCACGGCACGCTCTAGAGAACTCTGAGACGTTCCATAGGCTCTCTCTCTCTCTCTCTCTCTCTCTCTCTCTCTCTCTCTCTCTCCCTAAGCCGCCACCTTCTTTACTCGTTCGCTTAACAAGCATCTCTGTTGCTGCTGCGCTGAACTTTTGCGCCACACGAAGCTAAGACGAATCTACTCTAAGGTCGCTACGAGACGGCATTAATTTACAACTGCAGCAAGCAAAATGCCGAATTTACAATTGGCATTAAGCTCGTTGCAAGCCGCTAAATTTATTAGCAGACGCGTCTTAACGATCGGAGTTGTTTGAGTTCCTCGCGGGAGTATACCTATATATAAGGCTATAAGGCTATAAGGCTATAAGGCTATAAGGCTACTAAGGTCCATCGAAGAGAGAGAGAGGATAGATATTACCTTGACAGGATGCGGATCCACGGCGTAGGTGTCCAGTTGTGAGGCTAGCCTAAGGAAGTGCGTCTCTGCCTGTTCCGGTGTGAAGCCTTTAAGCTGTGTTTGGTGCAACTCCATAGCCTTCTCTTCGATGCTCTCAGTTTGTTTGAGCAGCAACTTGTGCTCCGAGATGTAATTGCCTTCGTGGAGTTCCGGGTCGTAGTCCCCAAGTTCACCTGACAACATTTCTTCCTCGTTACCCTCGGCCACAGGGACATTTTGCAAACATGGGAATACATTACAGTCCTTCGCAGATAACTCGGACGCGAGCTCGATTGACTGTCAAAGCAACAGTCAGTCAATAGCATTGCTGCTATTCATGAATGAAAGTATTTAGAGATCAATAGGGAATATCGATAGCAGACAAGGCCAATATAATAATAATAAAATAATATATAATATTCGACAAAACTGTCGAGGTAAGAAAATAAAGGATGGCTAAGAATACAAGAGTAAAGCTACTCACTCTGAACGATACAAGCTGCCAGCAGGGCCGCCTCGCCCGGACTGCAGTAGAGACGCCCGTGAAGAAGATCTCTTTTCAATTGTTGGTAAACCTGATACCTCGTGATCTCCTCTTTCACTCGAAAAGGGTCCGGCGGATAGAATTTCACACGGAAGCTGAAGAGAATCGGCTCCATGTCTGCAAGAGTCGCGCATAGCTCAATTATCTCGTGAGAAAACAATGACAAGGATGAACAAGGACACGTCACGAGGAGACTAATTAAATTTCTACAAATAAACGGGCCAGAATTTTATCGGGACGGATGCGAATCAAGTGGGAAGCAGTGAAGTACAGTCACGTGGGAAATGTGACCTGGTATGGTCGTTGGGTCAGGTTAGGTTAGGTAGGTTAGGGTTAGGTTAGGCTTGAGTCTACGGATCTACATTTATAATTGTGCCTAGCACAAGTAACGAATGCCAAGTCGAGCGAACGTGAAAGTTTCATGTGACATCGACCCGTGTCGTTCGGTATACATCGCGAGAAAAGCCTCGGTCGATCGAATCCACGCTCGCAGTTCTTAAGAAAGATTGTTTTTTTTTTCCACGCGACAGAGCCAGACCATCGCCAGTGAAGAACAGCCTTGCGATACGAATACCCGTCATTTCGATTGTACACGTGTACATTAAAATGCCCTATGACTCTCAGATTCTCAGATTCTCAGGTTCTCCCACGTATATCACATTTGTCAGCACGTGGACTAACCGTCTGCTTCTTAGCACACAATGCTATCGGGCAGTGTAATACAGGTATACGAGGTACATAGAGCCAGTACTGACCTTTGACTTGCTTTATTGCCGTTTTCGCCAGGTCCAGCCAGTGCTGCAACATACAAATCACAAACTTGTCTTACAACCCATAACCTCACCTAGAAGGACTGACTGCATTTCCCCGAGCAACCTCTACAGCGCGGTTCACAAGGCACAGTCGATTCTCCGTTCTCGCCTTACGGGAGAGATGCATTTTGTGGACGGATGAATCGACATTATTTTCAAAGGGCATCGCTCGCCCCTAAAGATTTTGCTGCTCTGTACGATACAGCGCACAGGTCCCAAGGGGGGTGACGTTACACGTGGGGTCGCGCACGATCCTTGAAACTGCCTGTACATCAGAGTTCGCTCGTGATGCCAGGGAAATTTGTAGTTAGACTTTGAAATGCTCCATCATAGTGAGAATCCTTGGAATGGCGGTGGACTATCGTCCCCTAACGCGAGCAGCCCTCTCTCGCTATCTACGATCTCTGAGCACTCTCTGTGTAGAGTTTCGGGCTCTGAAAGATGCCACCATTAATTTTTAAAGGTTTCTCGAAAGATATCGCCGGCGCGGTCCGAGTCGGTTTTATTGATTTTCTTAGGGGTTAGATACGGTCCGAGGGCTGGACCTTGGTAAACTTTGAACTTCAAGGGGGTTGTCACCCACCCTCCAATTAACTAGGTGGTTCGCCTTCATAGCAGAGTTTCCATATGAGGCAGCCAGCAAGGCGACGTCTGATTAGATCGTTAACCAGGACACATCCCTTAGGAACAACCAGCAAGTTATTATCGACTTTGGACGTCAAAACTTTGACGGATCTTCAATTTCGGACACGACGTTGATCAACTTTGAATATTTCTTATTTATAGACGCCGTGTCAAATTTGGATAATCCACGTTTCTCTGCTCGAACGACATCCGCAAATTTTTGCCCCATTTACATGACGGCCATTGAAAATTAATTTATTCAAATATTAATCGCATATCGTTATCTTACTGCATGACGTCATTCGTAGAAAATGACAAATGTCAGAGTGCATGATTTTTCAAATGGACGCTGGCAGGAACACGTGTGTAGCTGCTGTTCTCAATCAATGCCGATGATGGTGCAACTAACGCGTTCGCAGGCGTCGCCATTCAACTGGGGTCAAGGTAGACTAGAATAATGCGAGGCAGGTTGTTTCTTCTTGTTTCTTTTTCTTTTTCTTTTTTTTTTTCTTTCTTGCACCTCGACTACGTCACTAGCGTCGTTATTCACAAGTAGAAACTTTAATACGTATATCTTGGTCTTCCAATTTATCAGCTCTCTCGCTTTGGATGTCACCGATATTCTAGCATGGCGAACTACTAGTTTTTCTTAGCTTAACCAACATCAAGTTCCGATTTCGAGGAGTCAGGCGGCATTATTTTTTTTTTATTTTTTTTACTTGTTTCATCCTTTTCCCTCGCACCAACTACTTTTTTTAGCAATTTATGTCTATGTGAGAATCTTCAGGGAGAACTGTGCTCTGCAGATATTACTCATTGGATTGCTTGATTGTATTGGCGATCTTCTCTTCGACTCCCACAGAATTTCTGTTCGTTTGACATCTGTCAATATCTGTAATGCCGCTGGTAGCTCTAGCTGTTAAAAATATCATACCATAAATAAGCATCGTGAAAAACCGACAACAAATCGTTTGACACTTTCCGATACGTTTGGTAACATCACTTTTTTTGTGAAAGTTGGGATTGATTTGTTGGTCATATGGACTTTTTTTTTTTTCAAAAATTCGGAAAAACATTTTTGTCCAAATGTCTGCGAAATATAGCAGAGTAGATACCGTCGATGCGCGAATTTCACATTCTAATACATCGATGCATGTGGATACAGCGACCGAGTATTTATTATTTTTCGTGGAAGCCTGAAAAATTGGGAGCTTCGATAGGAACTCAATTTAAAAGAGATTGCGCGATGTACTGTGACCCCTTGAATTAACGATTGATACACCTGCTGGTTTCGGGTAACGTCAAATTGATAGTAGCAAATTCCGCGCGAGCGATTCCCCAGGGAATTTCACGTGAAGTTAAAGGACGGAATTGCTGGAACATCATTTCGTGTAAATAACGATATGAATTGAGTGGTCCACATTAAAAGTATTCGGAGTGGGAAGGAATCACGTAACCAGTGATTCGATCACTTCGTTATTTCTATCCGTGATTCATGACGACGTCGTTCTACTTGTTCCAGCCGTTAGCGTAATACTTGTCGTCTATTTATAGCTCGCTATCTGGTTTCGGTATAGAAGCACATCTGGGAATCGCTGCTAGGTGCTTTCTTGCTTTTGCTTTCCTCTTTTCTTGAGGAGGTCAGGAAAAACAATGCGGAAAACACGTGTTTGCCGGTGACTTTCATTAATAAGTATACATATAGAGTAGAGTGGGCCAGTGCAAAGTTCCACAGGTTAACATTCGATTGGATAGACAAAAGTAGGAGAATATTTTTAAAAGTGACTAATTACAATGACAAATTACGACTCACCCGCTGCCTGCAGTGATCCACGTAGCGAAGTCCGAAATAGTCCGTTTCCAAAATATTAAGTTGCTTGCAGACATATTCGAGTATGTATCTTCCTTTGTGCTGGGGCTGAGAGAGAAGAAGTACAGATAAATACATCGGACGAATAAACTTTATCGCTCTCAGCTTCCAAGTGTAAAGTGACATTTATCACGGGCGATAAGTGCAAAACGGAAGTGGGAAATAAGAGCAGCTGCGGCCATTTCAATGACTCGGTTTAGCATGGGAGAGAAGGCTGAAAAGTGGAGGAAGTCAAAGTTGAATAAGTCGAGGAAGTAGAAACTAAAACATTAAGATTCTTTTTTTTTTCCTTTCCTTTTCCCCATCTAAGGAACGTGCGGTATCTCGGAAGTTCGACTTTACCAGAATCCCCCAAGTGAAACATCCTTATTATATGTATTTCCTTAACGGTGGAAAATTCCTTCACATAGGATATACCTAGGAAATACCTATGTATTTATATGCATAAGTAAAACCAGTAACTGGGATTTACTTGATAATACCGGGAAAATGCAATCACGTCGAAATTGAGTCAAGAAACTCGAGTGAGGACTGTCGCCTATTTTATACATATTTTCAGAAAACTCTCCAACATCATCCCACCTGACGAAGACAACAAAACGTCATTTACCACCACAAGCGGAAGACATAAAAAGTAACAAGCACGTGAAATTATTAAAGAAAATTATGAAAGTCTGTATAATGCAGGAAGAATGTTAAAAAAAGTTGAATAATTCATGGGGAAACCAGAGTGGTATGTGCAAACGAGAAATTGGCTGCGTTCCAAAAATCAATCAAAAGATGCCTAACGATATTCCAAGACACAGGCTATTTGGAGAGTCAAGCAGGATTTAAAGCCCTTGAGGATAATATCGGTAAATTTTGAATACCATTGAAATTGAAAGGTACGGCAATCGATACAAGTTCGATTAAAGCGATTTAGTTGATACTTCACTTCCACCCTCAGCACGATTCGCGAATTATCAAATATATTCTTGGCCGACTTGTCGCCAGAATTTCTATTGGCACCTCCTGCAAATTCCCGTAGTACATAAACACGAGGACTGCTCGTAGCAATGCAAGAACCTTGACCGCACTTAAGAATACCCCTGATCTATATGTCTAGCATTCGAATTATATCTATAGCTATGAGGGTATAGAATAGATGGCCGTCGTGAATACCTAAGCCAAAATTACTCGAATCGTCGGGCCGTTTAGGATTAGCGGAAAAGTGCAAGTGCGTTCGGCGACCTGAAATTGGCGACAGATCATGCCTTCATTATCATTATTATTATCATCATCACTCTGCTTCTGTTCAATTAACTCCTGGCCAATGTCCGCCTTTGATCCTCGCAAAGGTATCCTGGTAATGTCTGTCTCCAGGAAAAACTATGTAATGGACGGTACATCGACCTTCTAGTGAATCGATACTATTTTTATCAGACCCTCCCTCTGCTTCATCTCTCTTCTCTCTCTCTCTCTCTCTCTCTCTCTCTCTCTCTCTCTCTCTTCCGTATGACCCGTATCACCCCCTTTCTCTTATCTTTCTCCTGGACTTCTTCCTTCCCACGCGTCCTCGAAAAGGCCTCACGTGTCTTTGCTCTAGTTCTCCAGGACGGCGCTTAACTTTCCGCGGCTCTTGGCTCTATCGATTGCTCAACATAACTGGCCCCTCGGTACGCCTTTTAAATATTGCAGGAACACGTATAATTTCACGAACGAGGCGAGGCTGCTGCGACACGCCCGATCCCAGAGCTCCGCGTCGCACGCCTATCGGGCAAAAAAGCGCCGAAGCTTCGTTGTGCGTTCGGGATAACAGTAGGAATACGAAGGAGTTGGAAAGCTTTTAAATACTCCTCTTAGAGTTTCTATAATACAGAAACTTTCTCTCGTCGCACGCTGCTTCTCTACTGCTGCTCCCATGTTTGATTGTGCTCTCAAAATATCGGCAATTGCAGCGCGTATTGGCAATGGCCTTGCAGCCTTACAATCTTCAAATAATTGAAAGCTTTACTTCGCTCCGTTTTCTTTCCTCAGTCTTGTCCTCTAGCGGGCTCCAGCCTCCGAAGGAGGCAAGGATCCAGAAGCAAGACCACCAAGTACCAAAGGTACTAAAAGTAGCGAGTACATGGAAAGAGAGGAGAATTACTGGTCCAGTGATGGATCGGCCGGGCTCGAGAGGACTCTTCCAGGATGCCAAGAGGAATCTGAGAATCCTGAGATTCGCGCTTTCGATGTTGGCAAGACTGCAAAAAGTTTCACCACAACGGAGGCCGAGGCCAAGCGGAACTGGTAACCTCCTTAAAGAGTGCGAATAATAATAACAGTCAAGGGAGAGGATTTCATGGAGACTGTAAATAGCCAAGGGATGAGCGTCCATTTGGACCGAATGTTTTGCTGATTTCATGCTGAATCGACAAATTTCGAATTGGACGTGAATCCCGTTTTGCGGAAAATCTCTAATTCGGGGATGGCGAACAATGTGGCACAACCATCCACGACAGAGACTTGAATCGATTTCTATTTTATATATGGGTCAATTAAAACGAATTGCTGCGAAGTCTCACGTGTCCAGACGCCAGGCGCTTCCATTTAAAGTAATATTATTGCGAGAGATAATGAGCAATGACAATTGACATAGAAATCGTTGAGAGTCCTATTGTATGGTACCACTGACTTTTTCAAATTGGTGCCAATTAATTGGTCCTGTTGTATATCTGCTGTGGTTGTGTACAATGGTCAGGCATCGATGCGTTGCGTATTTTATAATTTCACTCGATTAAAAGACGATTCACCCGGAAAACTCGTTTCGATGCAATTTCTCTCTTCCGACCTGTTTTCCCATAGAAGCCGAAAATGTCTGCGGTTAAGCAAATCCAATTCTGAAAGAACTACTAGAAAAAGTTTATCGATGGTTGGACGGTGGGCGGTAAAAAAAAAAGTACGGAGACAGAGACTATAAAAAAAAGATAAATTTACAGGCAAGAGACCTTGTCTCGGACTGGTTAAAAAAATAAAAATAAGGTTACAGAGTCATTCCCGGAAACAGCCAACGAGTCCAGGAATCGATTGAATCGAGAAAAAAGGAAAATGTCCTTGTCCCACTTTTCTTATGGAGAATAAAAGACTCCTGGAACGTATCTGGCTCTATTTCAGTATATGGCGTGTGCACTGATGTCTCCATACGTCGCTGTAGGGAATCACCGGTGCATTGCATCGCCTCCTCTCAAACATCAATATTTTCCAACGACTCCTTGCAAATTGCTCAAAATCCCTATCATCTCCAAGGTCTGTGTATGTTTATGTGGAACTTTACCATTTTCGAGTTACGGACCAAAAATTGTAATCTGCAAATAATTGCAGGTTCCTAAGGGACAGCGTTGCGGGCTTTAAATGTGTCCGAAAGGAACGTGTAAAAGGAACGATAGCTCAGCTATCTCGAAGGAGGTCACTGCATCGACATCAGACTCCTGCTGGAGCACGTGGAGGAGGATTCTCCATATTTTCCTCTTCCTATTCGGTTATCCAGCTGGTGGAAATTTCAATTTCCAGTGAAATGGCGATATGAAATTTCTTAGGTAAATTTGTGGAGGCGTCGAGGCAATTGCGAACAAAGACACGAAGGACTTGATGTCCTAGTGGATCCAGGATTATCGTGCGGCTTGTCAACTTTTTTTATTCGGCGAATATCAAGCGGCTGGCTGCGAGCCCAGCAGCCACGTCGACGTAACGATATGTTCCGTCCAGAAGAAAAGTGAAGCGGGCAACTAGAATTCATCGATAAAACTCCTGTTTAATAAAGGCCGGCGAATTCCGATAGTGCTAAAACGGCGGAAAAGCCTCTATCGGTATGTGCAGGCCTGCACGCGCTTCCACAACGGGCAACGTGTAGCCTTTGTAAACCACCGACAGGCGAACGCTGCAAAATGGTGTAGAGGAAACTGCAGCCCGCTAGGAGAAACGAAGCAAAACCAGGAAAAAGTTGAGAAGTTGAAGAAGGGAGAAGAACGAATCATCGAGGGAAGCGAAGAAACCTCTGGGCAAAAGGTGAGACGGAGTACGTTTTTATCGCGATTTAACGGACTCTCTCTCTCTCTCTCTCTCTCTCTCTGTAGCTTGTCGAGTGGACTCGTGAGCATGTTGAGGTTGAAAAGAAATGCAAAAAAGAAAATGAAAAACATGACGCAAAGAGGGAGTCCGAAGAAATAATAGAAAATAAAGAAAAAAGAAGTCAGTGTCACGCTATCCCGTGCAGTCCTTTTCAAACGTCCTGCGTTCTTCTCTTGGATATACATCAAGATTCCTGGACCTCCTCCTCCTCCTCCTCCTCCTCCTCCTCCTGCTCCTCCTTATCCTGGTAAGAGCTTTTCTCTCTCTCTCTCTCTCTCTCTCTTTACATGTTGGGCGACCTCACATATTTGCCAGCTGAGATGAATATTACTTATGCAAGAGCACTCTCCTCTCCTCCTGACCTCCGAGAGCCACTTTTCTTCCTTTCCCCAATTTCCTTTTACCACAAACAGTCCAAAGTCCCGAGACAATAGTCGAGTCCTTGCGCGCTTCGTCTTCATCTTCGCATGGACCAAGGATCCGTTCTCGTTACTTCTGCCGAGAAGAACTGTGGGATCTTACAGGTGAGAATAAGCTGGTTTGTGTTGCGACTCCATTTTCAATGGAATTCACAAGAAAATATTATGCTCCTCGCGCAATTGATGTATGACCACCGGACCAGACAGCATCTCCGTCAGTTCGAATTAAACTCAGTCCAGTAAATCTTCTCCAGGACACTTCCGTCGATCAAACGATAGAACCTCAAATTGCCTTCGCAGCACAGGGGACCAAAGTCTTTTAATTCCAAGAAATTGATTTCTCTGGAGGCATCCTGCGACACTGAACGACACAAAATAAAAGGTCCTCTGGTCCATGCTCAGCTTCCGTTTCTTCCTCTTTTATTTAACCTCCTCGTTGACACGAGATTCCAGCCCAATAGCTGCGTCACTGTTCAAATATTAGCAGAGCCTATTAGAAGAAGACCGGAAACCATATGTGTAAGAAGACACATCGAAACA